TTTTTTTCTTTTTTTCCCCGTTATTTATTTATCCTTTATTTATCTTCTTATTTCATTGTACTGTATATTGTTACTCTTATTTGCCTTGTATGTCTACTGTACAAACTGAACTGAAATGACTGACTGCTCGCTTTATAATTTCAATAAAGTTTTGAAAAAAAAAACCCTCTTCGGCTGCTCCCTTCTGGCAAAATTCTCCACACCCACCGCCGCGCTATGGATTGTGGGATATATGGGACCACGAAGCGTGCACCGGACCACGCTTGGGGAAATCGACGGCACATTTGGAGTATGCATTTGAAGTACACTCCGAATTGGGACAGCCGTCGTCGCGTGGCGGTGACGTAACCGCACTTAAAATGCGTACTTCAAGCGTGCAGACCCTGAATTGGGACACAACCAGTGACTACAGAGATCTGGGCGCCAACCACATGGTCTACCTGTACACTCGCCCCTCAAAGACAGTTTTAATGTCTCTATATTTTCAGGCAACACATATGTTTGTGTGAACTAAACATAATATCAATATGCATACAGCTTTAATTGTTTTGGGTCCTTTCACTTTTAAGTCAAGGAAAAAGCAATTACAAATAAAGACAACATAGAAATGCTGGCTAATTAATTTGTTGAGATACAAGGGAAACTAAAACTAAACTAAGGGGAAACTAAATGAGAGAGAGAAAGAACTAAAATAAATGAGACTGAACTGTTAAATGAGTAAATTTTGGAGATGAGCATAGTTTAAATGTGTAAAGCAGCACTCAAAGGCACAAAATAACTTCCTGTGGGAAAATCCAAGTATGCTCTGCCATGCTAATGTAGCTGAGAATTAAAGCTTAGGGAAGTAAAGAAACAGTAAGCAGCACTGTTTTGCTGTGAAAAAAAAATCAATTAAAAAGATGAGCATAAATCAAGGACTTGGCTGGAATAGCTCAGGGTAATTTAATCAACCCACTGCTCGTTCTAATCATGACTAATGATATATTTAATCAGGTATCAGGGGACATAGATAAATCAGTTTTCACTGACAACACAGCCACCTGGAAGAGAGGAAGGGAGCCTGCAGAAGGTTTCAAATAAATTACAGGAAATAGGCAGATACAGATGTGGGCAGCTATGTGGTGATTCCTTTTTTCTCTGGAGAAAATGAAAATGATGCAATTAACCAGAAAGCACACGAGAGAGGACTGTTTTACCCATACAAAGCAGATATGACAGCAATAATCATGTTACTATGGTGAACAATCTCACAGAAAGAAAAGTTTTGTTTTACATAATCTCAGTTCTGACAGTCAGTCAGATTTACTATACAAAGCACCCCCCACTATATTATTGCCTAGAAGAGAAGGGGAGGGAAATTAATTTGTACTGGAAAATGTGGGTACGAGAGGAAATGGACGAGGTGGAGGTGTCACTAGGTAAACTGGCATATTTCAGCAAATACTATGCTAAACTGCCTACTGCAGCAGTTTGGATTCATAGTAGAATAGTACAGGTGCTGCAGTGCCCTGCTTTCAGTCCAGACTTTTCACCAACTGAAAACATTTGGAGCATCATGAAATGAAGAATACAGCAAAAAAGGACTTTTAAGCAGGTAGAAACCTCTATCAGACAAGAATAGGACAGTATTCTGCTCCCAGAAGTCCAGCAGTGGGTCTCCTGTTACCAGATGTTTACAGATGGTTGTTAAAAGAAGAGGGCATGCTATGGATGCTACACAGTGATAAACACGGTTCTATCCCAGATTATTGAAACCTGTTGCTGCCTTCAAAATTAAAACGAACTCTTATTTTTGACAAGATGAAACATATTCACAGAATAGTAAAATGTCTCTTTAAAAAAACAACAAAAAAGTTTTATACATCTTCTATGTTCTATACAGGGTGAATTTATGAGATGAGATTTATGAGCCACGATGTGCGAGTGATCTGGGATTGTTTGGTTATGTCTGGGAAAGTTTATATCGTCAGCCATTGAAGTCGGCGTTGAGTTGGAAGAGGTATCTTGTGTACGCGAGACAAATCAGGGTCACCTTTCCTGTTTATATCTTTTACCCTCTTCGTTAAAGTAGGTCTATCCTTTCCAGCGGACTTTCTGTTGGTCAGTGTTTGGCAGCTGGTGTTTTCACTTCACCCGCCTGCCAAACGGACTTTTAGCGGCAGATGAGAGCGACAGGCGGGGTGTTGGTAGCTGTTCGGTGATAAGAGATAAAGTGGGTAAAAGGTGGCTGTCAGGAACAGATAAAATTGACAGCAACGGTCTAAAAGCGACAATGTAGCGGTTACAAGCTGTACGGGAGGACACGGTGTGTTGGCAGACCGGCTGGATGTCCAAAAATGTTTCTCCTTGTGGACTTACTGAACCAGAAACACATCGACACCCTCAAAGACTGAGTCCGGAGAAAGCAATACAAAGAGATTTATTTTTATTTTTTGACGAAATTATCAAGTATCATATATTATCTGGTAAATAGCTGTGAAATAGGACGATGTGTCTTTTAATACGCGTGCCAGGCTGCACACACAAAGTGCATCTATCCAGGTTGAAGCTAATGCATTCTAGGTTGTTATGGCTGGAGCATCGTCCGACCTTCTCAGCTGCCCTCCGGAGGACGAGGCAGTCATCCGGGCTCAAATCCTCACTCCATCCGAACCTGGCATTCCCTGTGTGGGCTCCCAGGCCCTACATTACGGTCCTACCGCGCAGCCCCCTCACGGGTGTCCCTGTGCTCTGCGCACACAGCCGGACTCTCGCTCGCACACCTGTTGCCTTTGCTAGCTCTTCAGCGGCCTCTACACCCTCACCTGCCGGATCAGTGAAGACCCAGGCGGACACAGAAAGAAGCCAGGCCCCCACCACGGTCCCCCTGGAGGATGTTAAAAGGATTTTGAGACTGGCTCACCCGGAGAGAGGAAGACTGGCAGGTAAACTTTATGTGACCTTTTACCTTAAGGTGTAGCCATTAACAAAAACCATCAACAACATAACTGGATCATTAACTTTAGGTGTTTCACTGACAGAGTAAAAAGCATTTCTTATTTTTAAAGTGCTTTAACCTTAATAAAAACAAGGTGTCACTTTTATTGTAATTTTAGAAAACTGTGTCTGATACTCCCTTTTGTGGGAAATATACGTTGATTTTGCATTTATAATTTAAATATCACTGACTCGCAAAATGTGGACTGCTGTAGGTGATTTACAATCATTAAAAAAATTTAAAAAATTTAAAAAACTTGACATGACGTGAATGTATTTTTAAACTTAAAAAAGCAGTGCTAGGGATTTAAAAGGAAAAAAGAAAGAAATAATAGTAGGCTTGAACAGTAGGAAAGACTTCAAATAAAACAGGTGCCCAAAGTAAATGTGTTACTGTGGAATCAGTTCGTTTTTTGTTTAGTTATGTTGAGTGCCAAACACATTATATGCATGACAAACCCCACACTCTAGTCTGTGAGCTGTGATGCTACTCTGTGACATGTGCTGCAGAGTCCTAAAGCGTTGTAAACAATGATTTTGGTGCCCGGCTGATAGTGTCTCTATCTGCTGACACACTTTATCAGTTACCTTTAGGATATTTACAGCATTATGAAAGTTGATCCTTTCCTTCTTTTTTCCCGATGCCCACAAAAAACGTGTTAGCCTTCTGCTCAGTTTAAATTTCAGTTTTGTTCACAAAATGGGCAGCAATGTCAGAAAATGGACAGATGTCTATTAACCAAGGTATTATAGACTTGCTGTCCTAACCATACACAGCTCATTATGTGCATAGCTGACACCATTAGGTCCATTTTAAGCCTGGAAAACCCCGCTTATGTTGTGTAAATAGCTGTGGATTATTATTATTATTATTATTATTATTATTATTATTATTATTATTATTATTATTATCATTATTATTATTATTGGTCTGAAAACCTTCAAGCTCCCCTGGAGGTTTTTGCGTGTCGGGTTAAGTTTCAGAGCTGATGGTGTTCTGGCACACTTCATTTCTTCTGTTCTCTGGATTGATGATGGCACAAATATTACAAAAAATAAAATCACAAATCTATTTCTGCTTGCCAAAGCTGACCTCACACATTAAACAAGAGGTTACTTCCTGTTTCTGTGGAAGTTTATTTGTAGTTTTATAAGGTTTTTGTAAGTCCTCCTGTTTCCCAACCCGCATGTCATGTGCATGCAAGCGTAACAATCAGTTGAAGTGAAACGGTGTCTACACTTTTACCATGTTTTTTGTAATCAGTGACAACCGGTCACCTCACTGTACTTTACAAAGTGGTCATTGTATTTTCTTTTAGGTTAGGGTTGCATTTCTTTAGGGTTCACAGTTCTTTAGTATCTCTGGCTTACATTAACCTCATCTGATCTCATGTCGAGACTGCAGCTGTACATGTTATTCATTGCCTACTATAAACCTTTCTTGCTCCTCTTTGCTCTGTTTAAACTATCTGTGACATTAGAAAAACCTCCCATAGTAGTTGTGTTGGTATAACTCTTTCAAAGAAGAAGATTAAGACTTTGTTTAATAATTTCTAGCCCTGGGTTTTTATTTTTCACTTTTCACACATATTTAAAGTGTCACATTTTTGCTTTGGTTCTGATTTTTCTCTCTTTTTGTTGTTTTATCCACCACAGCTGCTATAGGCTTCCTGACTGTCTCCAGTGCAGTAACGATGTCAGCTCCCTTCTTCCTGGGCAGAGTGATTGACACCATTTACGCCAGTGCATCAGACACCGAGACGATGACGGCCTCGTTGACGTCGCTGTGTATCATGCTGGCGGGGGTGTTTCTGTGTGGTGGAGCGTGTAATGCCGCCAGAGTCTACCTCATGCAGTCCTCAGGTGAGATTTACTCACCTGACGTAAACGAAGGCACTTAATTGGGTAACTATTAAAAAATTAAAAACACTGGACAGCTGAGACTACAGTTAAATTTGAGCTCTCTCCTCATGGTCTGTGCTTTAATCTTCATAGTTCAGGGAAATAATCCAAACAACCATTTAAGGAATTATTTATTTAAGAGATTGTTTGCAAAGAGTTGGATCTAAAGGTCAGTCTTACAGTGTGACCTGAAGGCTTTGATGTGATTGTGTTACCACAGAGAGCCTCGTGTCTTGCCCTGTTTATTTATTCAAAAACATAAATGTCACAACTACAAAGAGGTGGTTTTATGGAAAACTTAGAAGCTGTAGTTACTTTTGCCAGCCATTATCCCAGCACAGAGACTTCCTGGAGTCTCTGCTTCTTTTTCTTTCTCAGCCAAGAGTAACATTAGAGTGTTGGGGGGTGGGATGAAGAGCAGGATGTCCCAACCTCCTGTCTGGCTGAGGCTGTGTGGCTTCTTTTCATACTTGGAAATCTAAATTGGCTGTAGATGTGAGCATGTGTGTTACAGGATTTACCCAACCTCTCAATGGATGGATGGACATGAATGAGGGAATCTCCCAAAATGTTATTCTATCTCTTTAGTTAATTAATAACACCTGTAAACATTGAATTTACAATTGGCCAAATACTTACCCGAACATAATCAAGTGTGAACCAGACGTTTTTCTGGCATGGCCAAGTGCATGTAATTTTGCACAGCAGCAGTTGCTTTCTCCCTCTCTGATCACGTTTCCCATCTCTCTGCAGGGCAACAGATTGTTCGTAATCTCCGTGCCTCCGTCTTCTCCTCCATTCTCAGACAGGAAGTGGCATTCTTTGACAAGAATAGGACTGGCGAGCTTATAAACCGTCTCTCTGCTGACACGGCCGTGGTGGGCCGCTCAATCACAGACAACTTGTCAGATGGGCTGAGAGCCGTTGCCCAGGCAGCTGCTGGTGTCAGCATGATGGTGAGTACATCCCCTCCGAGTGTGTTGCTCTTGTCCCTCAGGTCATATCTCAACCCTCTATTATTGTTTTTTGTTTGTTTGTTTTTTTAAATTCTTTATTTGCAGTTGATATTCATAAATGCAAATACGATCTCATATCTTCTGTTGGCTTTTACAGAAATATGAAAGTCTCATGTACCGGTAATCTATTCTGGGAGGGATGGAGTGCACACACAAAGTTATGAAGAATTTTCAGAGCGACTTCGAATTGATGATATAATATATCTATCTACTCATGAATTGTGGGTGCTTTAGGCAGCAACCAATGTCTTTAGTGAGTGCTTTTTTTTTTTCTTTTTTTTTTTGCAGGCAGAATATCAAATATGTATTCATTAGAGTGTATCAGAGGAGAGCTGCAAAGGTAGATGAGTGTTAAGTATGTGTTTCAGCCCTTTGTGAGAATTGAATTAGTGAATGTCTGCCTCATAGGGCCTCATCAGCCGACATTCCCAGAATATATGCCAGTGATTGGTTTCCTGGAACCCACACAGCCACGTTTAGAATCTCCTCCTGCAAAATGGGCTTTCTGTTGTGGTGGGATAAACAAACAAATAAAATATGCCAATTCAAGTTCTTTCACTATCCGAGAATATGTATATTTCCACTGAAATTTAATACATTCAACCAGTTCTCATTGGATATTAAGAAATTGCTCCTTTTTTCCCTGCATTTCTCTTTAATGATTCCATGGTGTGAATATATTTATTTAATTATTTGGTCAAATGCTTTTTTTTTTTTTTTTATTATAAATTTTAGAGATGTTGCCCTTAGTTGAATCACTTTGGTAAGCATCAAGGAATATTTTCAATATTGGGTCATTAAGATCTAGTCTGTGTCTAATGGTGTGTTCAAATATCTGAAAAAGTCCTGTTTTTCACAGTGACAGACCTTCCTCAAACTTGATCCATTTCATTAGGCTTAACCTCAGCATGTATTTGTAAATTATCCTCTAGTTTATCTTCTCTTCTTAAAATATCCCAGACTTTCAGCTGAACCTTGATCCATGGATCTGTACATTATTTATAAGTCAGGTTTTATATGCCACTAGTGCACGCACCAAATCCAGTGGTATATAAAAAAAATAATACGTAAAACAGTTGGGCTTCCACCAAAGGAAAATCACAATGTGATGTTTTAAAAATAGGTTTTAAGTTGCTCAGTCATAAATATTTTTTGTCATAAAGTGTCAAAAAACAACAGAAAAATGCTAAAGTGTATTTTATATAATATAAAAAATACTGTACGTCTACATGAAGACCAGCTGGGAACCTGGAAAAACCCTGTGAATGAGGGAGGAAGCATAAAAAATTGCTGATTAAATAACTGTGTAATGATTACTATGGACATAAATATTATAAAGTCAATGTCCTGGAGCCACAAAGATAATTATCCTCCTCAGAATGAGCCTTTTGAAAAGGCACACACACAGCGGTGAAGTATTTTGTTCTTATCCGTGTGACTTCTGGAAGCAAAGAATTGTTGGAAATGTCATCTTCAAGCTGAAATGTCACGTAGTTCCTGTTTAAAAAAACCTTCCTTGTATATCTCTCACGCTCTCTCTTACATTAAAGCTCTGTTTTAGTCATCGAGCAGCACTGGAGCAGAGCATGTGTGCTTTTGAAGTGTCTTATTATTATTATTTTTTCTGTGTCTGATCTGCAGCTTCTCATTCTCTGCTGCGTGCTTGTGGTCACAATGCTATTGTTAGACTATAAAACTGTTGTACAGCAGGTTTACCAAAATAATTATTGGCATGAGGAAATGAGTGTGAGGAGCTGCCACGTCTCTGACAAACAATGCTCATTACTAAAGTCACAAAATGTGTATATGTGAATATAAATCATGTAGAGTTTTGACAGAGAGGTTGCTAAATTGTTGCTTGCTTACTGGCCTTTTAATAAACTGGTTTATCAATAGTTCATTCTACCCATTTTCATACTTTATAAGATTTTCTTCATGGTTTAACCTCTCCCCCTTTACAAGGTGTTTTTACTTCTTGTAAGGAAGTAAATGTATTTCCACTTTCTGTAAATGGTCAAGGAAATGAATGGAAGTAATTACCGTAATCAGCTGTTAAACTGGGTGGATCAGAGTATCACAGATCACAATAGCTCCATTAGCTGTCTAAGTCTTGTGTTGTGTCACTGTGACTTCACTGATTTAAATGCTTTCACGCTTAACAACAAAAATGCACTCAGATTTCCGCACAGTGGCTTCTACAGTGGATTCAATCAGATCAGAGCGAAACCGGCAACTTTTTAAAATTTGAACACAAGTTTAACTTTTACTATTTGAAGAAGAAAAGATTTTCTTCCTTGTCAAGTGAGCTATAACTGAGGTTTTAATGTTGCTGATTAACTCGATTAAACTTTTCAGTCCCTTGATGTTTGGTGTGGAGTATTATCGTGACTTAGGATGGTAAATGAGTAAATATATTTTCTTTCATGTTTTGCATCTTTATCAAACTCTTAAAGGTCATCAGCTGTGTTGTTACTGTGAAACCATTTTCTATGAACTTCCTTCACCAGAACTCCTGTTTTCGCTTCTTTTTCTCTTCTTCTAGTTCTACGTCTCGCCCAGTCTTGCGAGCTTTGTGTTGCTGATTGTTCCTCCTATGGCCGGTCTTGCTGTCATCTATGGCAGATACCTTCGCTCAATCTCCAAGCGCACACAGGACGCACTCGCACAAGCCACACAGGTACGCAAACAGACCGACACCGCATCTGGGTTAAACAGCTTGAATTTATATTACTAGGATTATTGTTATGATCCAGTGTTTTGGTTTTTAAGGGTAGTTACCCAGTGTTTTTGGCCTTTTCAAAAAAGATCCCATGTAAGTCCTACAAATAAAGTTTTCAATTCTTCACAAAATAAATATTATTAAATATAACAATAATTTGATAGGTTAAATAATAAAAAGATACAATAAAAGTAAAAAATAAGTTGAAAATGTATAATAAAGATAAACTACAATATAGAGCCATGTAAATATATGACTATAGTGCATAGCTTAAATAGTTTACTAAGTGTGGTGAATGTAATTCAAAGTGGCTTTGAAGGCAGTCAGTATAACAGAGTGTTGTGCAGTAGATCCTTAGTTTTGTGTACATGTCATATAAGTGCTTTACTTCCTTAGGTAACTTAATTAAATAGGCAGACAGAGTAAATTTTCTTGTTGATAATTTGATTTTCAATCAGTGAAGTCCTAATAAAATCACGTTCGTGTGTAGTTGGCAGAGGAGCGAATCAGCAACATGCGGACAGTCAGAGCTTTCGGTAAGGAGCTGTCAGAAGTCGACAAATACACACAGAAGACTGACCACGTCCTCGGCCTGGCTAAGAAGGAGGCTGTGATGCGGGCTGGTTTCTTTGGAGTGGTGAGTACGTTTGTGTCCTTTCAGTGATGCAAATCAAATACGTTAGCAAATGAGGTGTTGCACTCAAGCTTCTGCTTTTTGCCCCCATAGTTTGAGCTTGTCACAATCAAGGAGGTGTTGCACCATAATTGCCGTTTGATTCAGTTCTCCATGCAACGACGGAGAATATTTAAACCAGCCTGTGTGCATTAAAAGTTAAATAAAGGGCAACGCAGCATGTCCAGCGTTATAGCTTTTAAACAGTTACGTAGTCTATAAAACCTGCACATGTCTTCTCTTTTCATAGCTTGGATTACTCTCCTTCTTTTATGAACGTGATCATATATAAAGCATTTAATCAACACCGTGTGATGCACTGTCAACAATAAACATGCACTGTGTGTTACCTTTTATTGCAGGGCTGATGAGTTTGTTTGTTGTGAGGCACCAGATAAATGTGCAATATTTGTAACAGGCATTAAGACAGAGACTGGTGAGAAAACTCAACATTTAGCTCGTTGTGCTGGTTCCCTAATAGATGATTATCAGTGTAATTGAGGAGCAGTGGT